ATATACTATATATATAGTCTTTAAATGACTGCAACTCAAAAACTATTTAAGATATCGATTTAAAATTTTGGTATGTTATTTTTAAAGGTATGACCTATCGAAATATGGAAAAATTGAAAATTCGATTTTTTGAAAATTTCACACTAGTTGCGCCCTTTAATGTATGCACCTGTATCGTATTTACTATATATACGCCAATATCGTGTCTATCGGCAATATGTAATTTGTGCTTACTATTTAGATAAGATAATTATATGTTTATAAAAAAAGTATAAACATATTGTATCTGTAATAGTGCCTCTCAATTAACGACTTGTAATACATGAAGATTAAAAATTATAGGTTTTGCATTTTCTGTAATAAATGTAATTTTACTAATAACCTAACAAATAGCATTTCTAATATTATATATTACGTACTTTAAATTTACACAGAATCAAAGCTGTTCCTTTATAATTTCATTCTGTTAAAATCATATCTTCTATTATAAAATTAACAATCTAACTAGAATCAAACAACATATACTATAGCACAATAGCTAACTACGAAATATTCAGATGGTAATAAATCTAACTAAAAAGTGGATAAGATAGTTATTAACCACAGAAATAGTTCCAAGTTATTTTCAAACAAATCCACAGGTAAATCATTTTAGTTCTCAATTCTATTTCACATTGAAATCTGAACTATATTTAAGATTTATATAATATATTCTTTATTATATTTTTGTCATGAACGTTATTTCTTCTGGAGATTGACGCATACATGAATAATTTGCAATAATTTGCAATTAGTTCCGAAACTATTTCTAAATATATGTTTGTTATTGATTTATGGAATTTGAAGTTCGATGCACAAAAATATTAATAAGTAAGAAAATACATATACATCAATAAAAATTGTGTGATTGCATTTTTTAAAATTTATTTTAAATCAATACGTTTCGGATAACATCCTAGCCTTCATTAAGTGGAATATTGTAAGTAAATAGAATAAAAATAAAAATAATGATGAACTAATTTAAAAAACACAATTTGGCATCCCTAATTAATGAAACACTATTGAACCATGAAGTATTGTATTAAGATGTGCACTATTGAAAAATATATTTTTCCACAAAATGTTGTTTACAACAAAACACTCTAACAAACATGTATAAAATTTATTAACTCATCGAAACTGTGTACTGACTGTTCTGATTTTCTGATAGAAAAAAACATTAAAAAACGGTAAACAATTTAAAAATATGATTATAGATCATATGAATAATTTAAATCGATTTTTTAACCCTAAATATCCTACACAAAGAAGGTTTGTTGAAGGGTTGCATATTCAATTACATAGCGATAAGGAACTAAATAAAAAAACGACTTTATATCTCTGAACGAAACAAATACATGGTTTTTGAATAGTGTGTCAAAAATTTAAAAAAATGACAATTCCATAGTTATTGCCATTCTCACAAATTGTTGAGCACCTGTGCAACCCTTATGACAAGTATATTTATATATATTTTTTTTAAAGGAATTACAGTCAGTACACAATTTCGATAACTTGATAAATATTATTCATGTTTATTTACGTGTTTTGTTCTAATGCCAATATATATATATATATATATATATATATATATATATATATATATATATATTACAATAGTGCACATTTCAATACCATGGTGCAATAGTGTTTTATTAATTAAGGATGCCAAATTGTTAGTGTTTTTAGAGTAGTTTATTATATTTCTTTTTAAACTATTACAAATTATTTACTTAGTTTAATTATTATAATTGATAGAATATTCCACTGAATTCCACTGAAGAAATGAAAACCAAAATATATAACATATATAACATGCATATATATATATATATATATATATATATATATATATATATATATATAATATGCATGTATATGACCTAATAGATGGCAAAAGCCGAGTATAACAATTTATACGTACACATTTTTTATGCAAAGCAAATAATGCGTTTATGAAGCATAACAGCTATATAATATACGTATATATATATATATATATATACGTATATTATATATTATGTTTTATATTCGTATTATTCACACATGACTAAACTCACTTTATTTGCGATGTAGTTAATGAACTCATAACTACAACTATCCAGACCAAATCCTATGCACAAAGATAAAATGCACGACAAAAAATTGTTTCATCAATATTACCACCTTCGTTATAAATTATTCACATTCTACATAACAAACATAAGTTCAAAATAAATTTCATTCTAAGACCACAAGAGAGTATTATCGATCCGCCATTACGTTGCAGATAATTTTACAGCTAGCGAGCAGCGGCTTGCCATCTCCATTCAATGTTGTTCGCACCAACACAGAACGAGCGCAGCTAGTTACGTACAGAAAAGTGCACACGTACGCAATCTGTGTTGTGCGGACAAGGTTGGCAAGAGAAAATCATAAAATAAAGAAAACACAGTTGAGCGCGGGTCAACATCGACATCAGCACGACCATTTTTTTCACATATATTCTTATAATTAGATTTTGCAAAAAAAAATTTAGAGAACTCGTTAAAAGGAAGTAGCACCCAATGCATATTAGCATTCCCATACAATGCATTATTATTCTATTCCTTTTAATTTAATATATTGCAAACACAAAACACCTATATTGAGAAACACTTTGCTTAAGTGTCAGTTGTGTTTAAGTGTCAACACTCGACAAGTTATACTTTTATACACTCATATCAAATTTGAATTTGAAACGAAATTGATTTAATACATTTATCATAAAAACAATCATCCGTTTCAACTCTGCATGTAAAAACTCGTAATGTATTTAATGGACGCGCAAAAGATGAAAAGATAATCACGAAGCAATAGTTCCAAAGCAATCTATTAACACATTAGGAATTCCATCATTTTCACTATTTAGAAGAATATTCTACAGAAATTTCTTTTGATAAAAGCTGCATTTACTAATATTTTTTGTTGCCGGTATACAGGAATTTGTATTATACTAACGACAAAAAATAATTTGCCATCAACGGGATCACAATATAAAGTTGAATATAAGCAAATAAGAGTATATTTGCTTATATTCTTTTATCTATGAATATAAGTTCCCAAATTGATTTGTTTTTTCAAGGATTTCGCAAGCCCAAAACACTATATATGGAGTAAATTAAATAAATCTCTGAATTTCAAGCAAATGTATATTGGTATTTTTTAAATTATTTAACTATTATCATGTAAATTCAAATTTGCCTAAATTTTGTGGTAGCCCTTATGTCATTCATGTTTTTTCATTTATGGTGGCATTTTTGTCCAAAATTTAATTTTTACTAAATTATACAATTAAAAAGCTAGCGGCTTACGGGGCGAAAAACTTCATCAATGAATCTTTTAGTTTGTAATACACAACTACAAATAATTGAAGCACCTTTCGAAGAAATTTGTTCATGAATCAAAGAATCGATATGGATATGCAGGAAAAGGTGCTTCACTTGGCTTAATTTATCAGTCAAATTTAGTAGTTATCCGATATATTACCGAAATGATAGCACTTTAGTACAACAAGCAGTTTGTCTGGCACACCTCGTATCGTGTTATTTCAATGCAAAAAATATAATTCGCTTTATTATTATAATCGTTTAATTGTTCATGTACTTCACTACTAACACCAATGTTTTTAACTGAACATTTATAGACTAACGCTTATCACGAAACCCTGTTATATAAAAGTTGAACTGCTGGAACTTACGACAATCTGGGGTCATAAGTAAAGAGAAAGGTAAAACATGAAAAGAAAATTTTCATGTGGAAAAAATATAGATATATCCTATCATATTTAGAAATCTCAGTTATATTCTATGTTGGCATAAGTATATTGAAATGATCAAACGCAACTAATTTTGATACAAAATTTGTCATTCAAATGAAAGCATAATATTCAGCCCAACAAAACAAAGCGATAGTAATTGTAATTTCATATATAAACAAAGTTCAAATATAATAATGTCTTTTATGATATATTAATATCGTGAGCGCTGTCAACGGATTGCTTTCGCCTTTATATGCATGTAGACAAATATTTGTAATAGGACACCACACACAATATATGATTGATCATTGCAATATATGGTATTCCCAATGAAAAACCAAGAATATCACATTAATTTTGTTGATTATAATCGAGAAGATAATATTAAACGTGTTTTAATATATCTATATCGCCTTAATTCTATATAACGTAGAAAGGATGTAATCGCCATTTTGTGTATCTGTACATTGCACGAAGGTACTTGAGTCTCCAAACAAAGTTGTATCCAAAACAATTACATAATTTTCTGAAGTTTAATAAATTTTTGAAACATACCCACAAAGGAGACTTCCAAAATAAATAAAAGCACACCACGTAACGGGAACACTATAATCACAGGCTATTATGATAAAATAAACTCACAAACACACAATCACAACTTACGACCTAATCATAGGACCATAGAGAAGATATTTCATGCGCACTTTGTCGACGAGATACTTCCTCAAACTCCACTGAAACTGAAATTGCGCACGCCATTGCCGCGCAATTCAAACGCAATAAATTTTTGAAACTTGTATTTTTCTAAAGGGGATTTATATAAACAAATTGTACTTATCTATTATTTTTTAAAATGACGATATAATTTTCCTATTTTTATTTTAAACAACAAATATTGCCACTTTATGTAGCCACATATGAATTAGTTGCCATTGCACTATGTTGAACTACTAATAATAAATCAATTAGCACAAATTATCATGAGTGAATTAAGCCATTGATGGATTGAAACAATCCCATTTTTTCATTTTTTTGGATAATTTTTTTATGGTAAATAATAAACTGTTAATAGTTAATTTTAAGTATGTTAATTCCTGTACATCATTTTAATAAAAGTAAACAAATTTAATAAAACATGTTATTGTCAAATATATTTCAAATTTATTTATAACAATGCTGAAAATTACCATTTCGTCATATCAAAATTCTCAACCAAATCTTGCTCATTTGATTCAATAGTATCATCAATGTTATCCTGTGGTACAATCTTTGGCTTTTTGGTCTGTTTTTTATTCTTCTTAGGTTTTTCAGAATTATCAGCTTTATTTTTAAATCTATTAATTTCTTCATCCTCGCTATCCGATGGGAATAATTCAGCTGGACCTCTTTCAATTTTTCTTTTAGTTTTATTTATTTTGGGAAAACTGTATTCAGCTATTTCTTCATTGTTAGTATATTTTTTCTTCTTTTGAATTTCATTTACCTTGCTCCATTCTTGATAGTATGTTAGAAGTGGTAAACCCTTACCACAAATCTGTGTTTCCCAGCTATTAATTATTTGCTTATTATTTAAGTCCAAAGTTATTTTTGAACGCTCATTATCTATCACTTTAGAATTTTCAATAACTTTGTCAAGCAAATGCTTTAATTGTTTGCAGTATTTGGCTATATGACACCTCTTTAAAAAATCTTTAGCCTGCAAAGATATTTTAGATTATTATATAATAAAAAAAAAAATTATGCCCAACAAAAAGTATGTGCACTAACCTGCATAACAAAAGGAACAATAAAATCAGGAAAAGCAATTGATTGGGCCTCATTTGTTAGAGTCTCAAAAAGCAATTTATAAATACTGTCAAACACTGCATCCTTGAAACCATTTTCCATCATTTGAGATTTGGATGCACGTAAAATACATGTAAATTGCATTGGTTTCAAAGAAACTTTTTTATGCTTCTGATTAAAATCATATGCAGCCAACACCTTTAAAAAAAAAATAGCGAAAATTATTAAAAATAATTAACCAATTTAAACTTAGTTAAAATAATAACTTACCTCTAATATTAAAGGTAAAATAGGTATATATAATCCAGTATTCTTTGACAAACTATTCAAAATTTGAAGACAATGAAACCTCAAAGGATAATATTGCGAAGTAGGAACTAGTTTGATTGCATTAATAACAATCATAACCAGAGGATATATCAAAGGTTGAAGTTGAGGTTTATTATGAGTGAAAGACAATAAATCTGCCCAGAGATGTATTGAACCTACATACTGCCAATTATATACGGTTTGTATATTTTCTTTTTTATGTAATGTGATAGCATTTCTCAGGTGTATAGCTAGTTGCCTGATGTATAAAAACACATGAGGGTAAGAAATGTTCAGATCTAGTGCATACATTTCCATTAAAGATCTTCTCATAAAATTAATATTAGGAAGTGTGGTGGGACTAACAAATTTGCAATTTTTTACATAAGTGATATACATAGATTTTAATACAGTATCTAATAAAGACGCTTGTTGCTGTCTTGTAATTCTCAAAATGCAAATGAATGCCAAAACTCTGACAGTTTCTTCTGAAGTAGCCCAAATACCAATCAGTTTTTTTAAAATTTGTTTTGAAACATTTAAGAACGAGGAGAGAAATATTTGCATTTGATGTAGATGTTTTAACAAAACAGCTAGAATATTTGGTGAAGTGATTCCCTCAAGCAACTGAAATTCAAATCAACATTATTGTAATATTAGTTTCATAATTATATTTTGAATATTATTATCTGTGTATTATGTAAGACACAAAAAAAGACATGCATGCATAAAACTTTAATTACAGAAATATTTAAAAAAAATAACTAACTGTAAATATTACCTTAAGGAGGTCTATAAAATATCCTTTTATTAAAGTTTTAACTTTAACCCATCTTTTGCACTTGTGAGGTTTTTGAGAAGTAGTCAATTTCAAAAATTGTGCAATTGCTGGCTGAAGATTAAGAACACATAATTGTATTACAGCATTGAATACACCGGAACCTAAAAATACAATTGTGTAACAAATGATAACATTAGAGTTGTACAAAATCTATATAACTGCTACAAAATTCATGTTATTACCATCTATTCTTAAATTCGACTTTTGCGCTTCCTCATTAGAAATACATAGCAATGCAGCATTAAATGCTTTCATGGTATTTTCGAGTACATTTATGGAAACTTTGGGCTGTTGCAATTCTTCATGCCATTTCTTAACCATTTGCAAAGTTATTGTACCACTGGTGGGAAGATCATCAGAATGCTATGTATTTTACAACATGATTCATTATTATAAAGCTCAAATATAGTTAATTGTAAACCAAAAACAATACCTCAAAGTCACTTTCATCGCTTGCTCCTTCGAGTTCTGCGTTGGGTTGATGTATACTACCGTCTGAGTCATTATCATCTTCATCTTGCTCATTATCAGAAACGTCAAAATCTAAAAGACTTTGATCATTTTCTTGCAAGAACTGGTAAAAATCCGGATCAGTACTTCTTAATCGTTCTAAAGACTTTGCATGAGATACATCATCACAACCATCACTTTCTGAAAACGACCATTTAATTAGTTAAAAATATATATTTCGACAAATATGTATTAAATTACCTGAATCTGTTTCGCTTTGTGCGACCGTCGATTTTTTCCTTGTATTAGGTGTATTAGGCGAAACATTTAATTCGTCATGAGAATCTTGGTTTTCGTCAATGACATTATTCATAAAATCATTAGCAGACATCGAAGAAAATTTTGCATTTGAAGTTTTCTTTGTTTTCACTTTCTTCTGCATTACTTTAGGTTCCTTTAAGCCTACGGCTTTTCTATTTTTTTTTACTTTTGTCATATTTAGAGCATACATATAACACAACTAAACATAACCAAAAACTTTAACTCCACGTGACAGTCTTAAAACATGTATAATGATGACAAAAACATGAAGTTAGTGAATTTTAAAATAATATACTCTTGCCAACTGTATCAAAACAAACAACTATATATAACAGAAGTTTTTATACGAAATTATAATTTAGAAAAAAAAAACTTAAACATACGTTTTAGAGAATGTTCAAATATATATCTTCAAATTATTTACAAACATTAACCAGTAAAATATTTTACCTAGAACATACGACAGCTGTTTGATGTCTGCAATTACATGAAAAATAATTGGTTTAATATAAATAAAAGTAATATATATTTGTAGTTCATAAGTTCAATTATTGATAATATTCCAGGGTTCAATTTATTTATGAATATGTACAAAACAAAAATAACAACTGTATAGTTTTAAAAGTGTTTTGAATTTATTGTTTTTGTTTGTTTTGTTTGTTATTATTTAAACTTATAACTGATAATTTTTCTTCCAGAGTTATTCTCGTATTACCACTACTAGTACTGTTCAAATTTTGAAAACTTTTTTTACGGAAATCTTCATTTTGACTGAAAGTCAAAATGTCAGTAATAGCTCCCGCTAGAATTTTGTGGTTTTTAATTATTTCTATCGCGCTAAAGGAGGGTAAAATAACATTTAAGGTTGTATTCGGATATATTTTTTGCAAATTTGACACGGTGTTCTCCAAATTTTTAATTAGATAGTTCTTTTCATCTGCACTTAAATTAATTTTTAACACAAGTCCTTGATATATCGTATCAAATTCTTTGAAGTCCTGAAACATTTCAGCATTATGTGTATTAGTTACTGCGTCAGGCTTATGATATATTGGTAACATATTGATCGTTTTATCAACACTGTAAATATGGATTTCAGTATTTGTTTTTGACATAACCTTTCTTTTAAAATCATTGATTTGGAAATCCTTTATCCAACTCCCCCGAGCAAGCACTACAAAATAAAGAATTTTGCATGAATTTAGTTCGATAGCAAAGAACATGTCAGAAAATGAAGCGCACTTATCACTTCTCCGGATGGTTTGTTTTCAGTGCACCTAAGTTGCGTTGTTATAGCTACATTTTCAGAATATTGGGCATTTGATAATATAACCTCTATAATATATTTTATTGAATCATGTAATAATTGCAAAATTAACATTATATTATGATACAAAGATACAAAACAAGAAGCTTAGTTTGGTCACCACAATAAAATTCAAGTTGCAGTTCCTTTTACTTTAGATACCAACCAGGCAAAACAATTTGATACCAACTGTAAATGATTAAAAAAAAATGCACTTGCAGCACCGTACATGTGATGGAAATGAAACTTCTTCAGTGTGAAAAAAAGAAAATTTTAAGACATCGCTTAAAAAAATTAAGGCAATACAAATTTTTTATAAACAGAGAAAAATCTGTCTATTTTTAAAATCTAACGGTTCAATTGGAAAAATTGATATTAATAATGGTGATAACAAAAATTCCAAATATGGTAGGTCTATGTATCTAGATTAATGATGAGCTTATATCTTTTATGTAGAATATATAGATCTCTAAATGTAGTTTATGTATAAATATTCTAAATATCTATACTTTATATAAAAATCATACATTTTTTATGTATCACATATGATTATCATATTTCTTTCAAAATTATCACAAATTATTTATTATTTAAAAGAACATAAATTAAAATCGTCAACTGAATTTAAATTGATGTTAATCATCTTATAAATTCAACTAAATTACATTGAATATATATATATTAAAACATAAAATAACAATACTAAACTGAAATTCAATGAAGGCACCAGTCATGCGGTATATATATATATATATATATATATATATATATATATATATATATAAAATACATAAACTCATAATATCACATTTTCGTCCTTGATATACTGCACTTTTGCACATTCAAATATATAATATCCTTAAGGTCTTGATGATCGACTTTATTAGGCACATAATATTATTTTACCCTTCATTCTCTTCATCTCATACTGAAACATTTTTTGAACATAAATTTAATATATTTGATATTCCATTCATACGATTCATGAGATTCACTTAGCTTTCTATCAAAAATTCCTTAATTTTAAGTTATATAACATTTTACAGTATTTGTAAACAAATCTAAAACGATGAGAATTTGAAGCTCGGTAGAAAGCTGAGTAAACCAATAATATAGAATAAAATACCTTTTTAGTCGTTTATCGTTTCATATGATTCATGAACGGGCCTATAATGTCCAAAGGCAAAGGAAATATTATAGTCGAGTTCTTTTCGGCTGATATTGTACTTAACGTCTGCAGGTATCTCAGCTAACAATATCAAACAATGTTATATAAAATATAGCTACACAAAAATATCGATATATATATATATATATATATATACAGGGCCGGTCCTGGGGTCCTCAGCGCCCGCATGCAAGATTTGTTCTAGACCCCCCCCCCAATAATTTTAACTGTTTTAACATTTATCTTTAAAATTATATGAATATTTACGTAAATTCACACAAAAAATTATAAATATTCTAAAAGCGTATAAAATACGTTGATTTTAATTTTATTTAGAAAATTGAAGCGATTTGCTGATTGACCATAATTAAATATTTTATATTTTCAAGTATTTCTAACATATATGTAATATTAATATTTGGGTTTTGAAACATTTTATTTATTTCATTAAACTCATTTTTATTTTTAAACATAACATTCATTTTTCATGTTAGATTTTTAAAATTTCATTTTAATTTTTTTTTTCATTATTTACAATATCCAAAACTGCATCAGTAACTTATTAATATTGTAAAGCCAAATTGTATTCATGTTTACTTTCCCATCTGATTCAGAATATCATATTGTGGTTTAAAATTTTTAAATTTTTAACGTATTTTGAAAGATGCAAAGAAATTACATATTTCCTGAACTATATCGAAAACAAAACACAATTATATTTGTATCTGTATTATTTCTGCTTAGTTAATAATTAAATTTAGTATGAACACCACTAGATATAATAAAGCTCTCGAGTTTTGTTTCTAAGTACATTTTGCTTCCATTTTTCATATTTGCTCCATTTCCATAAACCTAACCATGTCTTTAAAGTTCAAAGTTAATCAGATGCGAAACATTTTCAACAAATACAAAAGTTACAATTGGGTTTCTCGGTCTTATAGTCATTTTCTATGCACTGACTTCCCATTTTCCATTTTTCTCTATTATAATTTGTATCTATTTTTTAACAAGTTTCGTTCAAATTAAATCACCTTGCAATTTTTCATCAATAATGCCCAATAATTTAAACTTTTGTAGGTTTGCGCTTACGGTATTGAACACTAGATAATTTCTTTTTCAATTCCACATTAACTTCGATCGAAGAAAAAATTAATGAGTTCATTAAATAATAAGCAGAACAATAATTTTCTAATTTGCATGAGTAATTAATTGTTAAAATATCTCATTGCAAACTGAATATGCTTTCTGTTTCTACATATCCATAGTTACGTTAGATTGTTTATTATAATCTGTTAAGTATTCTAGATTTTATATTTAAAAAAAAATACGAATAATATATTATAAATTTCATTTTCGAATCTCGTTTTTGCGCCCCCTAACGCGTGCGCCCGCATTTTTTGCATGCATCGCATGCAAGGCAGGACCGGCCCTGTATATATATATATATATATATATATATATATATAATGAATTATTTATTGTATTACTACATTATCTTACTTGCAAAGCCGCAGGACTATCAGCCATTACTTCAGCAGCTTCACGAAGCGCTCGTGAAGATTTCATCTCACCTTCGGCTGCGATCACCTTCGCTCGTGCTTCCCTGGCTGCTTCTGCTTCCGCTGCCATCGCTCTTTGCAATTGCGTCGGGAGCGAGACATCCTTTCTATATGACATAATGTAATTGCAATTCATTTATTATGTATCTTTCTCTAATTTTAAAATTTACATTTAAAACATAACTAGCATGGCATCGTGCCTCAAGGCAAATTGCTGGAACTTTCCGTACCGTAATTAAAAATCTTGTACGGAACCTAAAAAATTTACACATTATTAAAATCTCTATAAAATATCTGATAATTTGATGTACATATGTCCAATAAACACTTTTGACCGACAATTGAAATTTTTTAACTTATTTTCATTGAAAGTCCATAACCGCTAGACCTGCCTTCCCAAAAATTTAATCAGTTCTTCATCTTGTCAATACAAGTAGTCTTTTTTAAATTATTAAAATCGGACGCTCCGTTCTCTTAAAAGCTGAATTACCGTTTTTGGCACTTTTTGCGTATCTTCAGAACGGCTGCACCTGTCTTCGCCAAAAACCAATCAGCACGTTTTCTTATCAATACGAATCGAATGTTTTTTGAATTATACAAATCGGTTGATCGTTGTTCCCGAAATCGTCGACGAAATTTTGTAACCGCACACACAAACACATATGTTATGAATTATAACATTCTAGATCCTCCCCCCACGAGGTAATGCCTAACGGCGGTTTCCGTAGAAATCAGAGGCAAGGGCAAAGCGGAGGTTTTAGTCGGTATTATATCAGGGCGGTATGGAGCTCGACATACCCAGACAAAACACCAGTCTGGGATGCATAAAAGCATTTCCTTCGCTATACAAAAAAAACATACACACACATATTCATTTTTTCTAAGGTATGCCAAAATGTTCACAAACCTCTAAAACGTAAAGATGTATAAAAATTTTCATTTTCGATTTCTTTGCGATTACTATAACTTACCCTGCGGGAAGTTAATAAGACTTTTTTAAGAATATTGTTAATTCTATGTAATAGTAATGTTGCTTCACGCACATTTCTACCCTCTCGACCTTAACGCCCCATGGATCTGTGGCTTCATCCAAAGCAGCCTGCATGGCATTTGATATGGCTTCTCGTTCAGAAAGCAGTTCGGATAAATTTCGTGTTCCCAATACATTGCGCAATGTAGTAGCAGCTAGCAAACGCGTAGAATGACTATAATTTGCCACCTGTAAGGTAATAAACTGATGAACAATTTTTTAAACTTTATAACAACAAGAAATATATCTCTTAAAACATTTGGGGATAAATGGATACCATTTCATATTTTTATTAACCTGATATGTTAGAAACGTGCCGAGTTAAATGTAATTGATACAATTTTGATTGCAATTCTTTGATCTAAAATAGACCTAATGTTCAAGTTCAATTGTCGCGATTCAATATCAATACTATTCGAGAACAATTCGAGAGCAATAATCGTACATAACCTTTTAGAAGAGCAATAATTAAAGCTGAATTCAATAACATTTTAATGGTCAAAAAAGGGCTTTCATGATATAATTCATAAAGTTTATCATATTTATTTAGCCGTGAAAAAATCTCATAATGTGCGTAAAACAGATAAATAGTCGTAGAATGTATATCTAAAAATAAATTGAGAAAAAACTTAATGAACGGCAAAGGAGCAATTGTATAAACATGTATCACCATACAATTACTGGCAGGTCTAGAAATAAATTTTTCATATAGAATAACACAAGTCATTCTTATTATTAGGCTGTATAAGCATAGTAGTCCAGTCATTTAAGCTTAAATTAGGTAAGAATCTCGGAATTCGTGATACCCAGCTGTAAGTCTGTAAATACTTGTATATTGACACCCTAAAAGTTGTCTTAAAACCTACATATAGTAGGGTGTTTTTACTATATGTAGGTTTTGAAACAACTTTTAGGGTGTCAATATACAAGTATTTATAGACTTACTGCTGAGTATCTCGAATTCCGAAGTGAACTTACTATAATGACTAGACTATAGTTACTGAATTATATGATACAAATTTTCACATGCTCTAACACCCAAAACGTAATTAAATTTTAATTAACGATCAGAAGATAAAAAAGGCTATGGATAGAATAAAATTTTAAAAGTACGATTTAAAATTAACACTAACGCATATATAACTATATGAAGCATAAATACCTTGACTACAGCATTTAGCGGTTCATTAATTCTGTAATAGACGACAGCGTCGACTGACACGGTAACAGAATCCTTAGAAAGCACCTTGAAAGCAATCGAAATATTATTGCATTTTTTTACCTAATTAATCTAAATATA